AAACGGGAAGACAGCACCTTTTAATGAATAAATAAGAATAAAAATGGTGAGAGACACAATTTTAAAGGTCAACAATAGATACACAAGAATAACGGTAAAACAGAAGAGCACGTAGCAAAAGATGAAGAGCTCTTCCACCCACAGACGTAGAAAAGAGAAACATTCATGTCACTTTAAAGAGAGAAAAACCAAACAAAAGTAAAAAGAAATAGAAATTGGGTTGTTTTTTTTTTGACACCGCCACTCAGTTGCAAAGACGTGATACAAAGTGGCATGCACACACTCGGCCTGCAGGCCGCACCCTATGCCTTCTGGGGACGAGGCGCGTTCCTGCCCTGCTGCTGGCGAGACTGAGGCGCATTCTTGCTACCGCGCTGAGGGCGACCGCCCTCTTCATTCCGGGCAGGACGGGCACCGCGCTGCTGCGGCTGCTTCTGCTGGGGCCTGCGGGCGTTGCCCTTCTGCGCGCCGCCACGCTGGGCAGCACCCCTCTGGCCAGGGGCGGCACGGGCGCCCCGCTGCTGCGGGGCACCCTTTGCCGCGCCGCGGGCGCCAATCCCCTTCAGGCCCTTCACCTTCTTCGCGCGGGGCTTCTTGCCTGTCTTGATGCGGATCATGCCCTTCGCAATCGCCAGGTGGTTTATCGCGTGGTCAGACGCGGCCTGGCAGCGGAGGTAGCCGGCAATGCAGAAGGTCGTCGTGGTGCCGTTGATCACACCGTTGGCGTCCACATTCGCGATGGCAATCTGCACGGCGGAGTGGTCGTACGAGGTGATGAGGTTGTTGGTCGCGTGGCACTTGCGCGGGATGTACAGGTCCACGTTTACCCCCTCCTCGTTGAACGTACCGATCGTCGCCATTTGCGAGAAGCGTGCAAGAAAAACGGGAAGACAGCACCTTTTAATGAATAAATAAGAATAAAAATGGTGAGAGACACAATTTTAAAGGTCAACAATAGATACAGAAGAATAACGGTAAAACAGAAGAGCACGTAGCAAAAGATGAAGAGCTCTTCCACCCACAGACGTAGAAAAGAGAAACATTCATGTCACTTTAAAGAGAGAAAAACCAAACAAAAGTAAAAGAAATAGAAATTGGGGTTTTTTTTTGACACCGCCACTCAGTTGACAAAGACGTGATACAAAGTGGCATGCACACACTCGG